CAGGTTTTTCTAAATTTGTTTGCAACATTGTATGCAGAATTTTGTCGTGCTTTAGCATTATAAGAGTTGTTGGTCAATATTGGCATTTGTGGAGCAATATTGGGGTATTATTTTTGTAAGACATTCTGGGTGTACTGTGTACATTTAGTAATCCCCCAACTTTTTGGTGAGATTCTGATTGAAATTTGTGTACTTGACTCACTATTGACAGTTATAGTTTTGTGATCATATGTGGGAGCATCCGCAAGCCTAGTTTAGTGCACAGCTGTAGTGATATATGATTAGCGTGTAAATTATGATGGGTTTACATTGACATTCCTTGATGAGAGGACAATAAACTAAGTATGATAAGCAAGTTTTTTTTATTACTTTTCGAAATAATTTGTAAATTTCAGAAAACATCAAATTTGAATATTTTTTAAGCATAATGGATTCTGATATGTTTACTAACCAAAATCCTTGGGGGCCTCTGTAAATCTGACTTCATCACTCCATTTTATGAAATGGCTATCTGCCTGAGCAGAAATATCAGGTGCATATTGTGATTGCTGCAATGAATCTCTTTACACTGCTACATTGTCTAATTAAAAAAAATTGTCAAATGTAGTGGAAGTTGTATCCATATCTTCTTTTTGAATGTTTTGGGTGCAGGTGGGGTATATCTAACTTTGCTGCCTATAGTGTGTATCATCTTGATACGTGTAGCTGATTTATGATTTATTTATTTTAATTATGATTAAATATTGGAATGCAGTGTCATTGTGTGAGGCAATTGTAGTAGAATTATAGATGCCTGATGCAAAACTCAACACAGCTGGAACTCTCAATGCAATGAAATCAGAAGAGGGAAATGATTCCATTGACACTTTCATCAGGCAAACTACTACTGGAAAGGAGCCTTTTCTCTCTTTTTCAAGGCTAGGGGAGAGTCCAGTTCAGTGGATTCAGTTACTTCATGCCTTAGATCAGCCAGGTACAGGCAGAATGTCTTCTAACGTACCTGTAGCTATAAATTCTTTTTGTATGTGTCTCAAGTCTGTGGAGATTTAGGGTTCGGTTTCCATTCGAGATGTGATGGACATGTATGTGTTTGTGTGGTGGGAAGAGTAAGAACTTAGTAAATGCGAAATATTTTGGAGATACTGAGTGATCAGGCGATTAGGGTTGCTACTGTTAGCACCATGCGTGCTCTTCATCTGGAATATTGATTACTTGGCTTTCCTTTTGGTGCAGATCTCCCAGGTTGGCCCTTGCTGACTCCGCTGAAAGTGCAAATGCAGAAGTGTGAGAAGTGTTCCCGAGAATTTTTTTCACTGATTAACTACAGGAGACACATTCGAGTGCATCGTCGCTCTTTAAATGTTGATAAGGTTGTCTTAGCTACACACAACTTCATTCCTTTAATCGAAAACATTTGTGCAATTTGACAGTGTTTTCTGAAGTAATTACTGTGATGAGAAGTTTGTTGGTATATTTATTTTCGTTTAGTAGCTATGATAAGTATAATTTTTTTTCCTTCTGATTCTACTTTTCCAGTTTTTTAATGCTATATTTGCGTTGTGCAGGAATCTCACAAACATAGGGATTTATTGGCTGCATTTTGGGATAAAGTAATTATTGACCTTCCTAATTTCTTTTCCCTGTTTACTCCACTGTTTGCTGAATGCTTTCGTGTCTTTTTATCTACAGCTTTCAGTGGAACAGGCTAAGGAGATTCTGGTGTTAAAGGATGTATCGATAAAGGTAGTACTCTGTTCCATATCGATAGAGGACTAGTGTTGGTCACATGACTCATCTAAGTGCTTGTTTGCCATGGCTTATTCAAACTTATGAGCTGGTCAAGTGGCAATCACACATTTCGTTGGACACCATAAAATCTACAAAATGCTTTACCAAACATACTTCAAATAAATTTTCTACAGATTTTTACTTGGTCTTAAATTTTCACAGTAAGCCATTCAGTACAGCATAATGCACGGTTGGATTATGCGTTTACGTTGATCTCCGGGGGCCCAATTTTCGGACTTCGCCTCAGGCCCCACGGATCACAGGACCGGCCCTGCCTGGAGATAGACTCAGTTCTTGATGTNCCCACGGATCACAGGACCGGCCCTGGTCAGAGCCTGATCAATTTATACCAGAGAGGTTTCTTACAAGCCATGCTGAGGTAGATTACTTAGGACAGCATTTTGAGTTCACTCCATTCGGGTCTGGCAGAAGATGTTGCCCCGGGATCACATTTGCAATGCAAGTAACACATTTGACACTTGCTCAATTGCTCCAAGGTTTTGATTTCACAACACCATTAAACATGCCAGTGGACATGACTGAAGGCCAGAGTTTAACCTTGCCCAAGGCTAAACCATTACAACTAGTTGTCACTGCGAGATTACCTTCTGGGTTTTATCTAAACTAGGTATTAAATTTGTGAGATGAAGTGGATTAGTTAATATTCATGTAATATTAAAGACGAGAAGAAAACTAAAATATTATTCAACGTATTGTTGTATTGTTTGCATGTATAAGCACATTGGGGCCAAACGGGGCTAAGAAGATTAACAACATAAAAAATTCATAACAATATTGCAAATCACAAGCAAAGCACGTGTTCCTAATTGGTTTCTAAAAAAATTAAATTTTATAGGTTTTATATCATAAGATAAGAAATCCACGTGATATTTTAACGATTCTCTGTAAGTAGTCTCCCTTTATGAGTTACTGAGATTCCCTTCTTAATAGGCATGCTGGTGGCAAACGACAAAAATGAAAGTGAAATATGTCTGCGAGAAAGTGAGAGATAAGGGATCGTTCTTTTTAGGGTTGTGGACATTTTAACTTTCTTTACATTTTAATTTAAAAAGTACAATTATAAATTAATTATTTTAGGGTGATTTGAGCTGGGTTGGGTTCGTAACAAAAATCCAACCCTACCACATATATATTTGGGAACAATACATAGTTCCTATTTTTAAAATTCACATTTCATAAATAACAAACTTTTTAAAATATTTCAAAAATCAAGTGCNTCAAGTGAATGATGTGGTGTCGGAACCTGCTAAGATGAGGTTTTACAACAAGGAAAAAGATTAAAATAGATTAGTCTAACTATGGAGGAACATGATTTGCATATAATAGCCAACGGCTTAAATGCATAGCAAGAATTTGGCAGACTTTTTTTCCTCTGGTTTTTGGATATGTACATGTGTAAATAAATATTTCTAGTTCTGGATTTGTGTAAAATAAACAAAAGATGGAGCCCGTAAGCATATTTCAGTGTTCATACTTTGCCTTTGTCATTAAGAAGTATAAATGTACAATAGAATTGCAGGATAGTGCTTGTTACTTGGTTCTTAGTGCTATAGTCGTTGAGCATCGACTTTAATTTCAAAATTTAAATTCGATCAGGAGAATTGAAACAGCCGCAGGCTATAAATTTTGGGTTGATGGTTGTCCTCTGAGATGAATTTATGGTTCGTTGACTTCTGTTTTTGCCTTTCCATTGAAACCTTGAGGATGTAAGGAGTTGTGTATAACTTTTAGGCAAAAAAGAAAATGTAATATAAACACTATTACGTCATTATTAACTATACATCATTATTTGTTGCGTGTTTTGGCTACGGAGTAGTACATAAACAAGATCAACCTTAATTACATTATTCATATGCTGAATTGGACAGTACTGGACCCAACAATGGATAAATACTTCACGTCTCTGTCTTCTGTAGTTCCATCCTGTCCTTTCCAAGATACCAAGTGCGCAGAAAATGTAATACCTAGTTTTCATAGAAATTAGAAGGTAATCTTGCAGTAACAAGCAGTTGTAATGGATCTGCTTTGGGCAAGGTAATACTCAAGCCTTCAGTCATGTCCACTGGCTTGTTTAATGGTGTATTGAAATCAAAACCTTGGAGCAATTGAGCAAGTGTCAAATGTGTCACTTGCATTGCAAATGTGATCCCGGGGCAGGATCTTCTGCCAGAGCCAAACGGAGTGAACTCAAAATGCTGTCCTAGGTAATCTACCTCTGCATGGCTTGTAAGAAACCTCTCTGGTATAAATTCATCAGGCTCTGACCAAATACGTGGATCTCGGTGTAACTTCCATACATTCAACAACAACCGGGTTCCTTTTGGGATGAAGTAACCTCCCACATGACAGTCTTCCATGGCTTCATGAGGCACTGCTAGGGGCCCTGGTGGGAATAACCTCAACGTCTCTTTGACAATAGCCTGAATGTAGACCAAGTTCTTGATGTCGGATTCGTCTACCCATCTCTCTTTACCAACTTTAACATCGATTTCTTCTTGGGCTCGTTTCATTACTTCCCTGTTGTTTACTAGTAGAGATAAGATCCATGTCAAGTGAACAGATGTGGTATCAGAACCTGCTAAGATGATGTTCTGCAGCAAGTAAAAAAGGTTAAAATAGATAGGTATATGAAGGAACTTGATCTGCCCATATATGGTTTAAAGGCATAGCACTTAAGATACTTCCAATTATTGGACTCATATGTTTATGCATTGATGGAAGTAAAAAATCAAGGAATCACGATCTACTTACTTATCAAAAGCACTTTCGGTTTTCAGTGTAACTAGGACTTGATTATAGCTGCATTCTTAGTCCCTGTTTTAGAGGAGTAGTAAACTGTAGATAAAACTGGAAGAGTAAACGTTGTAGGTAGATCTACGTCCAAAATGTGATGTAGCTACTTGAGTCAATGATATTGCAGCACAAAAATTAGGATGGCTTGTTTAGTAACACGAACTTTTCAATATAGTATAGTGTTAAGAAACAGAAGGTAAAAAAAATTGTCTGTCGTGCTTAGTTTTAGATTTTACCAACTTAAGCAAATCCACAATATGTAAAGAGATGTTGACTTTCAAGTTTAGAGATGTATAAACTAGACATTTCTAGTTTTGGTGGCTCGTTTGTTATCGATAAACCAATGAATAACTGTACATTGAAGAATTATCATACCAGTATTGTAGCCTTGATTATAGTTTCCTTTGAATGACCATAATTTGTAAATTTATCATCAATAGCAGAAAGCATTACATCTATGAAATCTTGTTCATTCCCCAACTCTCCCTTCAGATTTCCCTTAACATGTTCATCAATCCAGCTTTCAGTAATAAGACTCAATTCCTTTGAAATTCTCTTCATGGACTTAATATGCCCCTGAAAGTCTATCCAGCTTAAAAGTGGCAATGGAACAGCATCTGAGAGAACAAACTGCCCCGACACATACATAAACTCCTTGATGACTTTTTTGAATGATCGAGCCTCTTCAGTTCCTGCGTATCGTTTTCCAGCAATCATTTTCACAATTATATTCAAGCTCAAGTGTTCAAACCACTCACTCATCACTACCTCTTTTGATGGCCTATCAAATTCCTGGTATTCATGTGAATCAATGAGTCTTTGATCTCTATTAATTTCCCTATACAACTCTTTGATACTCGTCTCTATCTCCATAGTTCGAACATGTTTTAATGCCTCTAGTCTCCTACTCGACAGAACTTGAAGCAGCACTAACTTTCTCACCTCGCGCCAATACGGGCCGTGAGCAAAACCAAAGCCTGCATCATTGTAACCAAGGTATTTCCCTACACTAGAACTTGGCCTTTTACAGAAAGCCTTGTCATTAGTGGTGAAGCACTCTTTAACAGATTCCCAGTTGCTCACTATAAGTGCAGGGTGCATCCCAAGTCGAATTATAAATACGGGACCATATTTATCAGCCAACGCTGCTAAAACCCGAGCCACCGGGGTTTGACCACCTAGGAGGTGCAGGTGGCCTATAAGAGGCCAAGCACCTACCGGTTCAGGGGGTGATATGCCCTTACCCTTACTTTTTCTGCTCCATAGATAAAATAGCAGCAGCAGGGATAAAAGTCCTAAAACAGGTGCTAGCAGATCGTGTGAGAGAGAGTTCATTTTTTTGAGAGATGATCAAAAGAGTTCAGAAGTTGAAATGATAATCAAGAACTGAACCAAGATCCAATTCAAGGTTTCTAATGAATTATTGATTACTTATCAAAGTGAGAAAAGACTTGGTATAACCGTTGACTTGCATAGGACAAAATTTTAAGCGGTGGGGTTATGCTGATGAATTTTCGTGTGGCTTTGTGGTATAGCCAAAAAGTGGTTGTAGATAATTTTTAGATTGCGACATTTGCTTATTCAATAACAAAGACAGCCAGTTATTAATGATTCAAGATGTAATTATAGAGTTTGGACAGTGTCACAAGCAAGATGGTCAAGAGAGGCAGTCTAAGTGTACAACTTATTTGGGCAAATTGTGATTATTTTTCCTCAAAAAATTAACTAAAAATAAAATGAAGTAGAAATATGGGTGAGGTCTAGTAGCCCTACTCAACTTGACCACTAGCATTGAGACAAAAAAATATTATATAACAAGCAAGATTTAAAAATAATAATAATAATTTTCACGATTAAAATGTAAAGGATAATGACAATGCAATTAAAATAATTTGAAATTCAACAATTACTGTGGATTTTAAAATAATTTTCATAATTCTCAAAATGAATCTATTCTCTTTTGTTCCTATGCCTAATTGAATTTCATGATCATTTTTTAGATGAAATTAGGTTGCATACCCTCAAAAAATAGAGATGAAAGTTGACAAAAGTGGAATGGTGTTTGTTATTTCTCAAAAAATAAGGACAAAAACTTGAGAAAATTAGATATGGACAAAATTGCTACTTTTGTCAAAGTTGAGACTATATATATACTAGTCAGATGCACGTGATGCATGTGCTACATGCGTAATTGGCTACTTAATAGCGTGGTTGTAAAAGCTTAATGAAACAAACATCAATGAAGCACCGGAAGACAAATTTCATCATCCATGTACAAGTGAAACAGTATTGTAGTTAAAACCTTATATTTTTTCATTAAAAGGTATCATGTTTATGATGCCTGCAAACAAATAAAATCATGGAATACTTTCGGAAGATATTGCTTCATGAAATCAACACACAATTTTTTTTTTAACATGCATAAAATCAACACACTTCTAGAAAATATCCTTCACCAGCTCGACCACCCCCAAACTTATCTCACAATATGGTTAAGTTAGAGAGAAGAAAAGGTAAGATTGATAAAAATTTAAACACAGCCTTGTTCTTATCAATTCAAAAATATATCCATCAATCAAAAAAATTTTATGTCTAGATAACAATTAATTGTGACTATTGTGCTCAAAGTAACTTAGGATATCACATGTACAAGCAATTTTCGAAAATTTAGGCACAAATAGCATATTTGGTTATAGCTCATGAATCAACAACAATTTTAAACATCAAAACCTTCAAAGCTAGCAAGGGTGTCTAACATGCCAACACAAAATCATAACAATTAAATAAGAATCACCTCCAAGCTTAGATCACACATTGTCCTCAATGTGTAAAAGAACAAGATAANTATCAAGGGTGACTAACATGTCAACACAAAATCATAACAATTAAAGTAGAATCACCTTCAATCTTAAATCACACAATGTCCTCAAAGAGTAAAAGAACAAGATAAAATAAAAGAGAGGGTAACGAAACTTCCCCAATCTGACATTTGGTGAAGAGGTACCAATACTCTATTTGGACTTGTGGCGCTTTTACACTTGGGCAAGTAACCTTCTTGTACACCAATCTACCCCTAAATTGTGAGGAAACATTTATATGTGGGATGTCAAAAACTACCTACAAAAAATGATAGCTAATCAAATAAAAATATGAAAATGCATAAAAGTAAATAAAAATATTGAAATTTAGAAAATTGGGTTGCCTCCCAATAAGCGCTTTTTTTATAGGTCATCAAGGTTCTATAGATTGAATATAAATTATAATTCTAGCCTTACAATAATTATAATGTGTACCATCAAAGAAGGGATGTCGATTTGTAGAATACCTCTCAAGATTTTGCAATACAGTTTTCGCCATAACTCAATATTGTGAAATTTTAAAGAGTGAGTACCTCGCTCTGATACCAATTGAAAGCCAAGATTGAGTAATCAAGAAGGGTGAATTGGTTGTTAAAAAAATTTCGTTAATTAATCAAGATTTTAATCTAATGACCACACAAATGATGAAGAAATAATCTAAACACAAGTAAGCACGTAAATGAAACAATATAAACTTGCACAAAGTAAAAACGTTAAGTAAAAGGGTTAGAGAGTGCAAATGACATAATATGGAGGTTCGATCCAACGCAATGATCTACGTCCCCCGTTACCAAGTTCTCCGGCACGAGCAAGGCATTTTTCACTATGTTAATTGACTTATGGTGCAATCCAACCCTTTACAAAGTTTCTAGTGATTTACAACCAAGAATCACCGATTCTTTTGTAATGTTGAGCTTTATGGGACCTCAACACGACCCATAATTCCAAATGAAGTTAGAAGAGAAATCTTTTCTTCTTATCAAACAATAGATTCAAAGTAGAGAACAAGAGGAGAAGAGGCAAACACTTCTATAGATTGCAACGAGTATAGTTCAAAGTGTTAGGTTGAAAAACTTTTGAAGAAATAAAGATTTTCACAAAATCAATCACTCAAAGGTTTTTCAAGAATTTAATGCTTTTGATCTTCTAAGGATAAAGAATTAGGTGGATGTGATCAATAAAAGCCTCATTTTAATGCTCAAGAAAAAGTTCAAATTGAATGCAAAATGAGTTAGTACTTATAGGTGAAAAAGGGTCAAAAATTCTATCGTATTGGATGTCCAGTATATACCGGACGGTCAATTAGTCATTTTGTTCAGAAAATCAGAACGATTAAACTTTTGACCGTTGAGCCAAAAAGTCATATCGGACGTCCGGTACAGCCTTTTTGGCTCCAAACGTCCTTGTTTTTTATTTTTATCAAATATAGGTCGAGGGACGTTTTAAAAAATGTTTTTTAAAGTACTTGTCATATTTAAAATAC